TTTTCGATTTTCGGATCAGAAAATGTTTGGAACTAAAGAGTTTATCATTATAAACAATATTTTCTCCCCCATAAACGTAGGTTTTATATAGCTAAATTTAGAATAATAATTATTATTGATTAATCTGTTATATAAAATTGTAATCGTTTTCCATACGAGTTACTCTCATTAAATTTGATCTGAAAACAATTTTTCTGATTTTATTTTCAAACAAACAAACTAACTAACAAACAAATTCTTTTGACAAATTAACTCGTTGTAATTAATTATCTTAACGATCTTAACCTTGGCTGTTCTTTTACCCTTTAAGAAGAAAATCTACCCCAAAAGCTGATTGTTAATGGTTGCCAAGACTGCACGGTACATTTCAGTGTACCATGTGTTTACACAACTAATAATGCAGAGAGAGGACGAAATTAGCACAGAGAGGTTTGTCGTAGAAGACGCGAAAATGTGCGTATCACGAACGAGCCTCTGAGTTAATATACTCGCTTTTGGGTGCCAGCAGACAGGAGAATGTGCAGGATTACAGTCATATATCTATCACGGTAGAATAGCGCATTGTGCCGGAAATCGTGATGGCGTGCTCGTAGACCATGCCACAGGCAAGAGCATAGCAATGGACATGCGAAATCTTGACGCCCATTCTGGACCATTTCCTCGATATACTACAAAGAATTACGTTATGCTTCTATATATGTATATACATGTGTAACTGTGTTAAATTGTGAGAATAATAAAGCTTTCGAGCTTTGCAATCTTGTGGTTTACATTAAATCTCTTTAATGTATACGATCAACGTTAAATTTAATCCCCATATATATATACTTTAATACTAATGTGCATAATTTTATTATATACTATATATATATATTTGAAATTTGTATAAATGATATAATATAATTAAAAGAATAAAATTCGATTATATTGTTAACAATCATTTGAAAAGTTTTGAATTTGGAATATAACAAAAAAAGAAATTCGAACGATCTAATGTATTTTTAAATCGATACTAACTCGTTCGAACAATTCGATATATTATTTTTGGAATTTTTCAATAAATTTGGAATAAAATATTTCATGCATTATCATGGGTTCGAATTATTCTATCAAATAGAATCCAATTCTCATCATTTTTCATGCAAATCACAAATAAAATAAAAAAATATACATAAGAACAAACGTAAATATATAATCAAACGATTTACTCTTGTCAATTTATAAACCCACAATAAATTTTAAATATTATTTAAATTGATATATATATTATTTTTTGTATAAGCATGATTGTTGAAAAGAATTTATTGGAAAAAATCCGCATCTGAAGTGTTACAGCATTATTCCACCGTACAGAATAAATGTACAATAAATTCCTCATACACGTCGCGGTTCGCGTCGTAAAAAAAAGAAATATAAATATACAATAAAATACAAAAATACGAATGTGAGAAATCGATTTAAAGTTAATACCGATTATCTAAACACCCTAAGTTATATCTTCGAAATCTTGCCAAATATTTTGACGTGATCTGCTGCTACTGCTGCTGCTGCTGCTTTGCGGATCTCTTAAAAAGCCCTTTTGAAGCGGCGATTATTCTTTTATTCTCGGGTGTCGGCATACACTGGCAGAACCACCGAATAGTACTATAGACTCAGACTCAAAAGAAAAAGAAAAAGTAGAAAAAGAAGAAGAAGAAGAAAATGTACCTCCTTGAGAGAAGCTCCGGAGTTTGAGAAAGACACTCGCGGTGCTGAAAACGAGTCGCCGCGAGGGAAAAAAAGAAAAAGAAAGAGAAAGAGAAAGGGAGAGATATATAAGGGAGAGAAATAGACAGAAAAAAAAAAAATAATAAAAAGAGAAAGAAAGAAAGAAGCATCCTCCGATGCTTTACGAAGTGGACACTCAAAAGGTACTTCGCATTTCTTAGATATTTCTCAGACCCCGTTCTGCATTTCACATAGATATCTGCACTGAACGTCCTACAAACTTCTACTTTCTCTCTCTCTCACTCTCTCACTCTTTTTCTCTCACACATATACTTTCTAATATCATACAAAGTTCAAATTTTCCTTTCTATCTTTCTTTCTCTTTATCTAATATCATACAAAGTTCGAATTTTATTCTCTTTCTTTCTCCGCACCATGAAACACGATTCAAATTTTTTTTTCTATCTTTCTTTATATCACACACACACACACACACAATTGAAATTTTATTCTACTTCTTTCTCTCTCTCTCTCTCTCTTTTTCTCACACAAACGCACACACACACACATATATTTACACATGGTTCGAATTTTTTCTCTCTTTAATGCATACACATCATACCGACCTCTGATATACTTTCTCTATCACTTTTTATATATTATATTTTTCTGAAAGGGGAGAGTGGTAGAGGGTGTTGGATGAGGGTTTAGTGAGAGATAGAATGGTATATGTTAAGGCGTGCTTAGAAATGACACGTTAACATAATCAGATAGTAAACTGTATCGCGAGATCCAGAGTTTTTCATGTTTCCAAGTAGGAGGAGGTCCAAGTAGGAAAAGAAGATCCATTGAAAAGGGGAAGTCCTTCTTCAAACTCGATATATCTCTTTGTTGAACACCTCGAGTTTACTCGAGTTCCTTTTATAAACCCCTTTATATCGTATTTCTCTCTCTCTCTCTCTCTCTCCCTCTCTTTCTATTCCTATCTCTCTTTTTTCTTCCCATTTTCCTTTTCCTTTCTCTCGTTTTTTTTTTTATTCCTCTCCAAGCTTCGTAAAGAAACTTTCGATTTCGTCGATATTTAAATAGGATCTCGATTGGTTGTAAAATATAAAACGACGAGTTAAGAATTTTCTTCTCTCTCTCTCTCTCATTTTTCTTCCTTTGCTTTTTTTCCTTCTTCGAGGACAAGGGATCACTTCCCATTGGTCCATGCGAAAGGGTCACGAGTTAAATATTTCATCCCTTTGTGAACGATGAAGTTTCTTGTTGCTGGTCCAACCCGCATGTTCTTTAAATATATTTCTACGACTTGTCTATGTATTACCACCCCCTTCTCCCCCTGCTCCTCCCCCCTCTCTCTTTTTTTCTTTCTCTTTAACAAGGACAAGACCATTTACGAGAGGTTCAGATTTTTTTTTTAAACTTTGCCACACTTGTAGTAATCCATGAGAATGTACAATAGATTGTACTTTGTAAAAAATCTAAATCTTCAGCTGGTCATGACGATTCGAAAAAAAGATACTTCATATTTTGCGTAAATACTTCTTAATAATAAGCCATTTTTAAAATGGGAAACGCAATGACATTAATTGCTTTACATTGTCTTATATGTGTACTCTTTCGGCTTGAAACAAAAAAATTAATAAAAATTATATTACAAATTGTAATACGTCGTGGCGTATGTTGAAAGCCCGAGAACTTCCACTTTTTTTTTTTTTCTTTCTCTTTCTCTCTCTCGTACGATAGCTAAAAACGTCGAGAGAATAAAAAGGAAAAGAAAAAAAGAAAAAACGAGAGGGAGAAGAAAAGAGCTTCGAGACGTTAGAATTTCACTTTGATCCTTTTGAAATGAAATGATACATATGTGCGTAAATAGAATCGCGCAGGAGACAGAAAGAGAAAGAAGGAGAAAGAAAAAAAAAGAGAAGAGAGAAAGAAAGAAAGAAAGAGAAAGAAAAAAGAAGGGATGGATTCTCATACTCTTAAAGCGTTTGTATTTCGTCTCGGAGCAAACAATGTTGAGAGGAGCAGAAACTAAAAAGGTAAAGCAGAGATGGCAACACGATGAAAAGCTAGAAAGAGTAAGAAGAGAGAGAGAGAGAGAGAGAAAGATACCTAAAGGAACATCTTACTGCAATGAAAAGAAAGTCGTACTTCCATCAGACACAGTAGATTTAAACTTTCTTTTTCTTATTCTATCAGTTTCTCTCTCTTTCTCTCTCTCTCTCTCTTTTACTCTCTTGTACTCTCTCATTCGCATTGCTTATCTTTTAAATTTATTTTCCCTTGTCACGCCATCCTCCCTCTTGTAAATTCTCGTACACAATCGTTGGTACATTAACGATCATTAAGAGTTTTCCCTTAGCTCGACAATATTTTTGTTTTCTAAGTGCACAAACTGAATATTAGTTTAATAGAAAGAGAAAGAGAATACTACTTATTGGATAAGGGTTGCGTCACAGTTAAATTAGAATTATTATTTTAAGTAAATTGTCAGTATTTATAATAAAGTATTTGTATGTAGATAATATTAATTATCTTTATTACAATAATTATTTTTTAAAATATTGTTAATATTTCTAAAATTGATATTATATTATTTATAATAAGAAATTAATATTAATATATCTTATATCAATACGTAATCCTTCTGATGCAACTGACACATATATAATCAATATTTTAAAATATTATTATATATACTCTGTATACATCAATATATAACACTAACCATAATTTTTATATATTCAAAACAACAAAAAATGATTATTTATAATACACACACGCAAACAAACAAAAATATATTATTTCTGCATACGCGGATCGTTAATTAAAAATCTCTTCAATCGACAGAATGTGTTAAAAATACTGATCAAATATAAACAGAAACGTAATAGTAATGATTTCAGCAATGGCACTAACAGTGAAGATTATTTCTACGAACAATAGCAATTTCGATTAGCAATCGAGTGTCGACAATTATCCTCGTTATATGTTATTAAGCCAAGCTCGCTTGATCATGTGTATATATATATATATATATATATATATATATATATATATTGTAAATAGGAGGTAAACGTTCGTTTGGATAACGAAGCTGTAAACAAAGAACACAAAGGTGTATAGAACGTGTTGCTTATGCAGAGTCCTGTCGAATTCGAGCCTTTGTTCGATTGGAGAAATAGGAAATTCGAGAGGACAGCTCGATAGAAAATTTATAATAACCTACCGATATTACTCGTTATCAAACAAGGAAGTAATTTTCCTCTCTTGATCTCATATTTCAGATACAGGTGTACGGATTTAACGCCGAGCTCTATCACAACATCAGCGAAGCACAACACAAGAGTCAAGGATTAGTCGCAATTTCGCTAATGGTTCAGGTAAGCCTTCCAACATTTCTTCTCTCTCTCTCTCTCTCTCTCTCTCTCTCTCTCTCTTTCTTTCTTTTTCTCTATTTCTCTCCTTTTTCCCTCCTTTTACATTAATATTATGCATATTATTATTCTTCTTTGTCGGACAATATTGTGCATGCTTTGTTGTCTTTGAATAAGAAAGAAAACATGTTATTTTAAATTAATGAATAATCTAATCTACCTTTATACAGGCTGCACGTACATTACCGATCAAAATTATTTCATTAATATTTAAATGTTTACAACTTTTTAGGAATATTTTAAGAAAATTATTTTTTAATATATGAGGGGATTGGTATGATCATTTTATAAGATGGTTAAATAATTTTGACTGGTAATGTGTGATAATAATAATCGAATAAAAGGTTTAAGTAATAATAATTCAAACCGATAGGAGAAGATAAAAAAATTCGTTTTAAAAAAGGTCAGTAAATGGAAAGAGATAAGTTTTATGATTAAAATTTATACCAATGTGAATATTTTAATAACTCAAAGATTTTTTTTTAAATCGATTAATTTTGAAATTAAAGCAAAGAATTAAAAGGAATTATTTTAATTGAAAATGAATATCTTTGTAATATTCTGAGATTATTTTTTGTAATCGATAAATCTTGAAATCAGTGATAGTCGAAATCCTTTATTGAAGGTTTTCCTATAAAAGTATAGTTGCCAAGAGGGAGAAAAAGGGAGTAAGTATCACGTAAGGATTGTCCTTCGAGCCACAGGAACGGCTCCTTTCCGAGAAAGATGAATTGGTCCATTGGGAATTCCGTAATTCAACCAGAACCGATCCTAGGATTTGACAATCAATACGAGATTGTTTATCAGCTAGACCTTCCAAAAAAAAGAAAAGCAGAACAAATTCTTTTAGTAGAAAAACAAAAAAATTGAAAAATACAAATCAATAACGCAATTCAAATAATAAAATCCAAAATTTAGAAAATACTTAAATCAGCAAAAGACAAAAAAAAATGATAACTAATTTTTTGGATAGAAAAAATTAATAAGAAATACGAATTGACAGTTGTAGCAAATTAAACAAAACAAAAGAAAATTGATAAAAAATCAAATTAGCAGAAAAATGAGGACAAATTCTTTCGATAAAAAAAAGAAAAAGACAAATGCACAAAATACGAATCGACAATTCCAGAAAATTAAACATAATAAAAGTAAAAAAAGTAAAATAAAATCTATAAAAATTTCGATCAAAAAAAAAACTTTTATTTAACATTTTAAGTAGAATAAAAGTTTGCTAACGAATGAACAAAAATATCAATAGAATCGATACAAATATCATATTTTGTTTTATACTTTTAAAATTTAAGCGAAAATTCGTATCACAAAGGTACTACTTTACACGATCAAGATAAGAAGGAATAAGAAAATAAAAGAGAAAAGTTTGAAAATAAGATCACAAAGAAAGAAAGAGGGAGAGAGAAAGAGAGAGAAATGGAGAAGATCGAACGACCTGTGACCACGAGTAAGGGAAAAAGCTTTTCTTTCTCGTATTCACGATGACAGTCGTTCCTCGAGTACCCCGAGGGAAGGTTCTTCTTTTTTCCTCTTTATCCCTACCTCCAACCTCTCCCTTTCCCTATCTTTCTCTCTCTTTCTCTCTTCGACTATTCTCGCGTGCTGCTCCTTCGTGCCCTTTTCGAAAGCAACGGCTCGAATCGATTACACGAAACGGCTCTTAATGAACGCCTTGCTACTGTCCGAGTTCTCTATCCTTTTATTCCTCATTCTCGTTCATTCACTTCTTCTTTCACAAAATATAGCTACTCTAAAAAAAAAGAAATAAAAGAGAAAAAGAGAAAGAGAGAGATAGAAGTGGAGTATAATAGAACGCGTGTTAGAAGTGATTCCGACATCTGCTTGGATTGAAAATAAACGATTATCAATCGGTGGAAACACGAATATCTAATAGGAATGAGAAACAGAAGGCAAGTGGTTCATTAATAGCAAGAAGCATGTTGATATAACGGATGTAAACGTCAGCAAATTGACGCTCGGTCTGCCTTCCACCCCCATTCCTCCCTCCCACTCCTTCCCACCCCCTTTCCCTATCTCTTTCTCTCTCTCTCTCTCTCTATCTCATTCACTATACATAGTATACACGTATATAAACGTTTCTCTATCTCTATCATCTCTCTGTGTGTGGGTGTTTGTGTGTGGTGGCGGTTGCAGCCGTGGTACGGATCCATATCGGCTACCAGTATCACCTGTATCGCGCTATTGCAATCTCTGTCAATATCAGTACAAACGCCAAGTAGATTAACACGCGCATGTCATATTAAATACCTTTTGCGTACATACGTTACGAGGATACGAATTTTCGAGGGTGACTGAGGAAGAGGAGGAGGAGGTGGAGGAGGGGGAGGAGGGTTCCACGAATAAATCATGCACACGCGCGTTTACGTTGCACGCGTAAACTTTAAAAAAAAACATTTTTTATCAAATTTGATCGGACACTTTAACATTATCGTTATTGTTTTATTGTTATTGTTGTTATTATTATTATTATTATCTTTTATTTTTATTCTTTTTACATTTTTATACGTATACCGAATTAATATTTATTAGAAAATATCAATACGTTTTATATACTGACGTTAATAATTAATTGTATAAAAATATAATCATAATAAATAATATCGTATCATTAGAGAAACTTATGTATCAAATAAGTTCATTTTTTAGTATGAATATCTTATTATTCCTAATTATTAATAGAAATATAATAATATCCGTTGCGTGTTAAATAATCGAATGAACGATGGGATGTACTTAATTAGAGATACTAATCGTATAGAGAAAATACGAGGAAAAATGGAAAATAGATAAATGGGAGAAAGGAGTGAGAGATGGAGAGGGCGGGGGGCGGGATGTGGAGAGGGAGATAAATATAATAGAAGTTATCAGAGTTACCCGTATGAAAAGGACAATGGAGTTAAAGCTATCCATCTACATAATGACTGTTTAATATTTTTCTCCACATGTCATATCGAGAATCAGATAGGAAAGTTACCGGCGATAACTCGATGAAGAAGTTTCGAGCAAGCTCCCAGACGGTTTAAGCCAATCCTCTTTCTCCACCACCTTTTCCTCCTCCTCCTCCTCCTCCTCCTCCTCTTCCTCCTCTTCCTCTTTCTCTTTTCTCGAGTCTCGACGTAGGAAAGTACTCGATCTCTTTCCCTGTCGTTGTCCAACCCCCCCTACACCCTTACACCTCTCCAACCTTTCACTTCATCTCTCTCTTTCTCTCTCTTTCTCTCTGTCTGTCTTTCTCTTTTTAACCAGGAGTTGATATCGTAAAGGTGTGCGTTGAAAGGGTACACAGATCGTGCACGCGCGCGCGCACGCGAGAATGACTGAGTGAAAGAGTAAGAGAGAAAAAGGGTGGGAAGAGAGGGGGTTGGGGGTTAAGGTTGACGACTGTAATTCAAACGGATTATACCCTGGAGCGCCGGAGGGGTTAAGATATAAACGAGCAGGCTACGATGAAAATGCCGTTCCTTCTTCCGTGGCCAAAACCTTTGTATACGTGTAGGTATGTATACGTATAGTTTTGTGTGAATGCACATGGGTGTTTAGCGAGTGTGGATATCTAAAAAAGTAAAAGAGAAAGAGAAAAATATTTTCACCTGTTCGCAACAGCAAACTTTTTTCCTAACTATATATATATATAAATATGTAAGGGTAGTAAGCTGAATTGGTACCTAGAAAGAGAACAAAAAAAACTATATATATATATATATATATATTTTCACATATTCGCAGCACCAAACTTTTTTCCTACCTATTATATACAATGGAAAGGTGAGGGGTAAAGTAAGAGAGAGGGTTACCTAGAAAGAGAAAGAAAAAAATATTTTCACCTGTTCGCTAACGAAACCTACATTTTTTTCCCTACGCGTATGTGTATTCATATACTTACTTGCATTCCGCCGAGACTTCATTTTTTCTCTCTCTCTTCTTCTTCTTTTGTATTTCCTTTTCTTTGTTTTTTTTCTCTGTTCCAGTCACCGTGCAAAAACTAAATATACATAATATACAGGTTAGTTTAGATATACCAGCAGTCATCTATCTTTCTCTCTGTTTTTTAATTAAATGTTTTGTTTCCGATACAACAGTTTCTTTTTTTTTTTTTAGTTTGTCTCTTTCTTTTTACATTTCCTTTTTGTTTTTTCCTATTAGATCAAATTTTTACCTCGTAACTTTCTGAAACCATTGCACAAAGTTCATTCATCGTTAAATCGTTGTTGCAGTTGGTTACCATCCGATGAGTTTTCCTATATACGTCTACGTAATATCACGTAGCTTGGAATAATTAAAACGAAAGGATTTAATTAGGGAATAAGATGAAGTGTCAGAGAAAGAGGAAGTTAATATTTTTCACGCTAGATTGCTAAAATATAACAACCATAGAGATTACCTATACCTATTCCCTTTCTCTACAATTATGATGAAGGAGAAGGGGAAAGATGTGGAGGTGGGAATATATATTATATATATATATATATACATATTATGTATATTATATATTATATAAGGTTGCTTCTATATGAACCCTTGCTTGCTTGCCTACTTGCTTGCTTGCTTGCTTGCTTGCTTGCTTGCTTGCTTGCTTTAGGTACGACCACCACCGTTGCAATTAACCCTCTTAATTCATAATCAGGGTAGGCTCCCAGAAGCAGCCTGAATTAAACTGTAGGTTAAGATGATGGAATTAGCGTCGTCTTCATTTCCTGCCGGCCGTTAGATATTTTTCATTATGATTAATTTCACTGAGAAATAATCTCTATCTATCTCATTCTCTCCCCACCCATTTTCTCTCTCTCTTATTCCTTCTTCTTCTTCTTCTTCTTCTGGTTCTTCTTGAATATTCTGGAAAACGCATTAATATCGGCCGATAAGATCCAACGTTAATGTTACTCTACCTTAACGAGAGAATAGCACAGAATAAAAATAATAGAAAAATCTATTAGATCTCGTTTGCAATGAATTATAACCACTTCTCGTCTTGAAAGATGAACAAAAAAAAAACAAAAAAATAATTCAACAAATATAAATTGTATTAAATTAATAATAAATAAAAATGAAATGTGCACTCGAGTTTTCTCTATTTACGCGACACTTTTTCTTTACCCGAGTCTCTCTGTCTCTCTATCTCTCTCTCTCTCTCTTTTACGCGAGGTTAATTATAATACAATTTGTTGCGGATAGTTTTTATACGCAATCTTAATTTACCCATCTATTATGTTCTTTTTTTATTTTTGTTTATTAAATCATTCGTCGACGTAGAAGTATATTTTAAATCAAATTTTTCAATGATTTTCAATGATCTCAAATCTATCTTGATCGAATAAAAACAATGTGAAATAAAGAAAAGATAATTATGAATTGTTACGAAACAATTTGTGACGACTAAATGAGTTAAATAATTACGGACAATGTTTATGTTAAACGAATAGAAATATGAGAATCATAAGTTACTACAAGTTTAATCGTGAGAATAAGCGCAAGCCCTACCTAGCCAACGGATTTATGCTGACACGCATAAAAGTGCACTACCTACCTCGTGTATGCATATTAGTATGAGTAAATGAGCGTGCATGTGTATGTGAGTGAGAGAAATAGAAAGAGAAAGAACGATGTCGCGTGTGGAAAGGAAAACTTTGCAGTTGTGCCAAGAGAGACTACTTGCTTGCTGTTTTTCCTTCTCTCTCTCTCTCTCTCTCTCTCTCACCCTTCTTTCTCCTTCTTCTTCTCCTACCCCTCTTTCTGTAAATTTTCCGAAAAGATAAACGACTATATTACGAGAACGTGCAGCCTGGCACGCGTTGAACGCCGTTGGAATTTCAAAGCAACTCCTCACACATCAGACGCAAAAACGAGGTGACTTGTAAAAGGAAATAAAAAAAGAAAAGAAAAGAAAAGAAAAGAAAATGGGGGGGAGGGCGGGGGAAAAGAAATATAATGTAAATAAAATTGTCGTTTTCAAGATCATCGTCTAACTTCTAATGTCTAACGTGATTTGGCTTCATTTTTCTTTAATATTTTAAATCTGCCATAATTGTACGCGAATTTAAAATGAGTTTCCAGGTTAAAAAAAAAAAAAAATAAATAAAGAGAGAAAAAGAAAATATTTCAATCGAAGCGGGGATTGAAATAAAATAGAGAATTATACAAATTCGTAAGGATTTTTCAACAAATTTCGATTAATCGTTTGTATTATTCTATAGAACATACATATGTGTATACGGGAAAATAGAAAATAGTTCGACACGATTCGTACCAAATTCAATTGTTTTGAATAGTTTGACGATTTAACTGAATCGAAATGGAGAAAACTATTTCCAATGGATCGGACCACTCTCGTTGCTTTTTCTCCCCGATTCCAATAATTGTTCTTTAACAATCATGAATCGTCTGGTACGATAGAAAATTTTTGTTTCTAAACAATACATTTTATCCTACAATTTTTCTTTATTTCTTTTCCTCTCAAACTTTAAAAATACGTAAAAATGCATTCGATAAATATTTTTCCTAAACGTTTAAGAATCTCGCGTGAAAAAAAATTGATTTATTTGATATTTTTTTTTTTAAATGAATGAATCTTCTATTCGATCAAAATTTTCTTAACAAATATTTATCTTCATTTTTTCTATAAAACACTCATACGCATTAAAAATTACGTTGCATACATTTGTTGTCAAATATTAACATCAATTATGATATTTAAACGTTCATTAATTTGTCCCATCGTTTACACAAATGAACGTACAAATTTTTCTAAGACTTTTTAATGGTCTATATTCTCGAGTAATTAATGCTTCGGATAAATAAAAGAAAAAAAAAAAAAAAACAACAACTTTTTCTTTTCCTACGATCCAACAAAGTTGAGTATAATTTTTTTGTTTCTGTTTTATCACGAAACGATTCGTAAAAGACATAAATCTTCTTATTTATCGTCACTTCCGACTTGAGGTTTGTTTTGGATAGCTTTTATGGATACCCTTTTAATGGTATCCTACGATGAAACTTTCCAAACGATCTTCCGCCGTTACCTCTTTACTTTGCCCCCTTTTCTTTCCCTAAAGTTATCTATATATATATATATATATATATATATATCTAGCTATATATCTAACAATAAGAGAAGATAAAACATTAAGAATGAAAATAATATAAAGGGAAACTTGTTTTCTGTTACAGTTAGGTGAAACCTTGAATCCGGAATTACGAATTATCACGAGCGTATTCAGCAAGGTACTTCATAGGGGTAAGTATCAATAATATGTTTATTATATCAAAATATTTTACTTAATTATACAATAAATTATACACAATGAAATTTTTATTTTGTTTTCCGAAAAAATAACTAATTTGAATACTTTTTAATCAAGCTAAATTATGTGCAGAAATCTATTAAATCTGAAAGAAAATTATTTAAAAATACTATTATATAAATTTCGTAATTTTAATTTTGATTTTTATTTTTGCATAAAATGATCGAACCAAGCAACAACTTTTAAATTTCTATTTTAGTTTTATCATTTGTATAATAATTATCTTACCACTAATTATTCACTCTCATCATTTTTCCCAAACGCGCTAAAAAAAAGTATAACTTCAAAAAAAGAAAAAAAGAAAAAAAAACAAAAAAGGAAGGAAAATAAATGCAATAAATATGAATTTTTTCTTTTGAAAAAAAAAAAAAAAAGAAAAAGTAATAATTATAATGTTGGAACAAAATTTCCTCAATTAGAGATCATTGGAGAGTTTGATAGCTTTTTACATAACTTGGACCAATTAATAATCGTTATCATTATCGAGGTTAAATGGCATAAAATTTAATCGGATTCGATTAAAGTCAGATTCAAAAGAGAGAAAGAGAGAGAAAAAGAGAGAGAGAGAGAGAGAGAGCGAATGTCATTGTACGCAAGTACTTTACACGGGAAATTTATTCGCTGGAGAAATTGTAAAGCGAGATGAAAAATGCACAAAAGGGAAGGTGAAGAACGCGAAAGTTCGTCTCGAAAAGACCTTTTCTTTGAATCCTGGATAGCCTTGACGAAAAAAAAAAAAAAAAAAAAGAGGAAGAAGAAGAAAAAAAAGAAAGAGAAAATAAAAAGAGCGATCGACTTTTGTACTCGGTGAGAAAGAGAAGAGCTTTCAAATTAGTGAAACACTTCGGAATCGTCGAATAAAAAAAAAAGAAAAGAAAAGAAGACAAAATAAAACAAACAAAATACAAGAAATATAACACATTGTTACAAAATACTATATCCTCATCGTAAATAATAAAATAATAATTATTATTATTATATTATTATCGAAATCTCGATTCTCTAAAGTACCCCAAAAGTATCATAAAATTCAAGAAACGTGAATAATCAATTAGAATTATCTTTAGAATGAACTTTGATCGTTTCTACGATCGTGGAAACATTTGGTATTCTATTTCTACTCCTATTTCTTCCTTATCGATCCTGTCGGCAAACACTCGGAAACAAATTACACATGTCTCCATCTATTTATAACATTTAACATTTAACGTGTGAATTAACATTTACCATGACCATATATAAGAGACTAATTTTAATCAGAATATGCTAGAACTTATATGATATCAAACAACGAATTATAGACGTATTGTACATTAACGTTATAACAATAAAATATTGAACGTTTACAAAAAAAATCAATCCAAATTAAAAGAGTAGTTTATTGACAAATTATTAAAAATAAAAATAAACACAAATATTACTTTAAATAAATAAATCCAAATTCAATTTTATATTAATATTCTACGAGAAAATATCAATGATATTATGATTTAAACATTATTATGATATAGACACTGAATAATACAACAATGTATTCGAATAGGCTTATACAATTCAGCAATCATTTTATTCTACCATAGAATAATTAAATATTATACATTAGTATCTCAAAAATAAAATTATTAAAATTACAAGAAAAATTAATGAAGAATGAATAAAAATAAATAACTAACAATGAGTTATGAGAAATAATATAAGAAAAAAAGCGTTGAACACTTAAATAAACTGACACAAATTTTTGTCCTATTAAACATCTAACGAAATACTATGAACGTAATAGGACTTTAAGGTGGTATGAAACAAAAAGGACTATGATGTATAACATAGTACGTCTATACTTACATGTCCTATGATTTTCTCGTAGAACTTTGGAATTGAAAAGCACTTGTTCCACAGAGATAGAGATAGAGAGATCAAGAAAGAGAAAGAGAGAGAGGAAGTGAAACATGTTGGTTGGTTTCCTTGCATGTAGAGAAAGCGTGCAAGGTGAAAAGTAAGCTCGCAATTAGTAGCCGGCATAACCGGAGAGTGTGCAAAGTACACTGGTGGTAGTAGGTATGCCATCGTTATAGTATTCTCTCTCTCTCTCTCTTTCTCTCTCTCTCTTTCTCTCTCTCTCTCTTTCTCTCTCTCTCTCTCATACTCTCTTATACTCTCTTTCTAGTGTTGGATAGTAGAAAGTGTAAATGAACAGCACACCGCACCGTCAGGATGAATACGCGCTTCACGCACCAAATAACACTTGGAAAAGAACTTGAGTGATGCTGGATGAGGTCTTAGGTGGGATAACTTTGGATAATAAATATAATGTTGCCTCACAAAAGAAGAAAAAAAAAATACATCTACATACATACATATATATATATTCTACTTTTTTCCATATTTAGTATACATGTATATATAAAAAGAAGGAGAGAGAGAGAGAGTCAGAGAAAAAGAAAGAACGATAGAAATAGAAATATAGAGAGAGAGAAAAAAAGAATGTGTAGCGAGAGAAAGGGAGAAAGTGAGTTAAAGAGAAAATTATTTCTATATTAAATATATTCGTACATATAAAAAAAAAAGATTGAAAGAGAGAGAAAGAGAGAGGGTAGGTGAGAGATGGTTGAAGAAAGATAGTAGCTTTCTCACTTTTCCACGATAGAATTGAGAGAGTGAAAAGTCGAGACTTGAGAGAGAAAGAGAGAGAGAGAGAGATGAAGAAGACAAGAGGTAAAGAGTAGAGAAAAAAAAAAGGAAAAAAAGTGTGGACGATAAAGAGAGAAAGAAAGTGAGTGAAAGAGTGGGAGGTGGGGGGAAGTCGAGGGTGAAAGCGAGGAGTAGGAAAATGACTCTCTTAAGGTAACGAGTCACTTCGCCACAATATATATATATATATATATATATGTATATATATATTCGTGGCAGCGCGTGCGCGACTTTATGTGCAAGGGGTGAGTCTATCTTGTCACGTGACTCGATAACACCCTCCAGTTCCTCCGATTCCTCTTTTACCGTACTTCCTTTTGTCCTTCGTTCTCGAAGCGGAGTCCGCGTGTCCACGATGCTGTTCCTTTCGATGCCTTCTCGCTTATTTCTTTCTTTCTTTCTTTCATTCAATTTTTTTTATCTTCTTTTCTTTTTTTGTTAAATCTTTTCTCAAGTCCTCTTTTTTAATTATTTTATTTCTTCGCTTCAACGCAAAGCCCCGAAAGACTTGCGAATTAAATGGAAAAGGAAGAAATTCGTTTTAATGATCGAGCTTTTTTTCTTCTTTTTCTTTTTTTTTTTTCTTGTCAAGAAAAAATGAGAGATGATTATTATTACGATGATTATGATAAAGAGGAGTTAGAAAATTGTCCAGGTTGAATTAATTGATGTTGAAACATTATACCATTTTGTTTATTCGTTTCTTCTTTTTAACTAAATTCTTGGATATTTTGATTTTTGTATACGATGTTGATTGTTAGAAGACAGTATTTTAAAGGGATGATCAGTATATTTGTGGAAAGATTCTACTAATATTTGTGCCGGTAATTATATGGGCAATGGATTATGTTTCAAAATATTAAAACAAATGAATTTATATATATTTTCTATTTTATTTATTGTATGGTAATAATATTATATTTTGATGCACAACTGATACCTGTGATTGGTTCCTTATACATCACTGACACCGTTAGCTTATGGAATCAATGATTGATGAGATTAGGTAATGTAATGTTACGATTTCTCACCCCCCTATTAATAACAACAAGGTTTATTGATGTAACACGTTTACAATGAAATTGAATCGGTAGGAGTTGCATGAAATATTTTGTTACAATTATCTGCTGATTCAGTAAGATCTCTTTCTTTGGATAACAATAGCGATACTTGCAAATTATAACTTACTTTGTCGGTTTGTACGAAATTACGCTTGCTTAATATTAATGCGACTATTTGCTGTGGTTATTATATTATTATTGTTATATGCTACGCTAATCGTTACCTTGGAGATTACTTTAATACCTTCCCAAAAGGTAACGAAGTGGATTGAGATTATTAAAATACGTAGATTAACCAATAGCTAATAAGCAACCCCCATAGTTTGTCATAGAATAGAATCGATGTTTTTTGTTTAGGATATACGTAAATAATATTGTTGAATATTTAAACGAAGATTTGAGAACTGAATACTATGTGTGTTTGTGTGTGTATATATATATATATATATATGTGTGTATAGATGATGCGACAAATGGAATACAGAAAGGTATTTACAGCAGCACATTCGTATGTTTGCGGATTAATGCGATAGAAGCTTAATTCCTGGTATAGAAATGATCGAAAAATTCGTATCAACACAGCTCGGTACATTTATTTGTTTTATTTATTACCTCTTAAGATTTTTCCGTAAATTTATGGTTTACCGATTTCCAAAAAAAAAGTTTGTATTTAGTATCGCGTATACACAATGGTTTGGCAATCGGATTACCCATTGACAATGTCCCACGTCAAAACGATCTTGATTGATTTAATACTAATGCACCATGTGTTACGGATTTCCTTTCATGTTTTGGGCTATAATAAAATTACAACAAATTTTCTATGTTGAATAATTTAAAAAAAACTCAAGAATGTTTCGTTCGTTGGAACACTATTTTAATATAAATTAAACAATCACCTTACATACTGCTATTTCTTTTACGTTTAATTATCGACACATTTAATCTTAAATATTATGTCTAATTTGTAAATGAAAACAATTTGATTTTCTCTCTTTTTATGATCTATCGATATTTCGAATAATTATAAAATAAATGGATGAGGAGATAGGATGGTTGTCGAGTATGTTTAGAAATCCACGTGTACATAAATCCAAGCGCAAGATGGTGGAACATGTATGGGTGCATTGTAATCAATACCATGTTGACACCTAGACCGGGCCACATAACTCATAAGACAATGG